AAGGACAGGCGCCTTTGTGTGTGGATGGTGTTCAGCACCAAGGACAGGCGCCTTTGTGTGTGGATGGTGTTCAGGACCAAGGACAGGCGCCTTTGTGTGTGGATGGTGTTCAGCACCAAGGACAGGCGCCTTTGTGTGCGGATGGTGTTCAGCACCAAGGACAGGTGTCTTTGTGTGCGGATGGTGTTCAGCACCAAGGACAGTTGTATGGACAGTTTGTAACATAAACATTATTCACACTGTTCCCCTGCAGCTGTACGGGTTCAGCTGTTTTGTGCTGTCCATGGTGTCCATGCACACTCTGTGTCTCATCAGCATACACAGGTACATCACCATCTGCCGCCCTGAACACGGTACGGGAACTAACTGTTCTCCAGCCTTCCCTCACTTCTTCCGACTTTCTTACACTAATAAGAAGTGGAAGTTAATTGCACAACAATGCATGTCAACTTGTACACAAATGCTAGTATTTTACAATTCTAAAAGACTACTTTACTAAAAATGTACTATTCAAAACAGTCCCTAACTTTTCCCACGTCAAACCCAATGCCGGTGTCTTTTCTTCCACAATATGTGACCTCGAATAAGCGAATGAAGTGAAGTAAACTCATGTCAGTGCAGCAAATTCCTTATTTAATCTAATAGATGGTCTGAAAGTGGAAAACATGTACAAGTATTCTATCCTTTCGTGACCCACGTCTTTATTTGACCCTAGTTTAACACTACCAAATGCGTCAGATGAACACTCTTTACGCCTGAATGCTGCTTTGGTATATCTTGTCAGCGTGCGTCAAAAGATATGAAAATGAAATTGGTCGTCTCCAGGCGCACATGTCAAGCAAGGCTTGCTAATGGATAAGCTGCCGTCACTTGAAGGTCAAATGAGGGCAGTTTATCGTACTTGCGCGAATCAGTGAACTTGTATCAAATGTAAAATTAGTAAAACGTTTTATCTACGAAAGGCGGTTTGGCTGGCAACTATTAACGACATAATCAGCCTGCCTCTTCCATTTGCCTTGCTTGATTTGTGTCTAGCTTTCCATTTCAATTGCCCACCAAATTATCATAAAAAAATACTTATCAATATAGATCACATCTTTCGTGCTTTGAAGGACGTTGTAACAGCTGCAACGTGTGGCATTTTTATCATAAATCTCTAGAAGAAAATGAAAAACGGGGGGGGGGGCTTACCCAGAAGTCTTGAATTGAAAGTAGAAACTACAGCATTAACCGGTTATTGATCTATCCTCTACAGCCAGTAAGTTGACAATGAGCAGGACAATCTTGGCTGTGATCGGGGCCTGGCTGGTTGCGATCGTCGTGGCGGTACCACCACTGTTCGACATTGCAAGGTTGGTCCGCTAGGCGTCCCCACATACCTGTGAACAACCAGTGGTGATAGTAGCTGATAGTCACGTGCCCAGAATGTCACGTGGCTGAAGTAGTTGGTCACTTATTCTGAGGAAGGCTGTAGGGAGCTGCTGTAGGGGTAGTTGAAAATTCTCTAAATTGCAGTCTTTTTTTTACTCCAACATTTCATGACTAGACACGGTGACAGCACACTCAAGTTATATCAACTTATTTTATGCCGCCACCAACGAAGGGGACGAATACATGACAAGACAATACTCAAGAAAGTCGTGTATTATTATTAAAAGTGCCTTTTCCAAGGGCACAAGATCGGTGGCATGTCAGGACTCGAACCCGGGACCACTTGGGCGAATCGAGCACGCTACCGCTACGCCACACGACCCCATAGTCTTTTTGTTTGAAGCTGTTTTACTGGATTGAAATTAAGATAAAATTTCCCCCTCTTTTTCACAAGGTACACGTACGAGCCGTTCGGTCTGTCCTGTGCTATTGACTTCCGGGTCACGACCGTGGCTGACCTGGTGTACCTCATCTGCCTGATCGTCCTGTGCTACGTCATCAATGTCGTCATCATGGGAACCTGCTACTTCAAAATCATCAGGAAGTGAGTCAACCACCGGTTCACTTGTGTCGGCCGTGTCACACTCTGATATTGGCAAAAATTAGCAAATATCAAAACGCCTGCAATGATCTTTGTCCTGGCAGCCTGAATACGACCAGTGTTGACCATGCTATTAAATAATTCGTTGTATCTTCTCCAAATCAAGGTTCTCCAAACAGCGATTCAGGCAAGTCCGTGACATCAGGACTAGTTATCGGCGCAGCTTCGAAATGGGAGTCACCCTGGTGAGGTTTGAGCCCTTTCCCTAATCCTCCAATCCTACCCTTACGTTAATCCGATATATATGTATGCTAGGGCTAGGAACAAAGCTGTAAAAAAGGCACTTTGTATTGGTAGACGGTAGACGGTAGAGTAGACAGCAATGGACTAGCATTAGAACAATGCACAAAAATTATGCGAGTCATGGGCCTCCCAACTACAAATAGTCAGCAACCACACACCATACTACTTACCGCTATCTAGTGCAACCCCTCTATAAGGGTATTGGATTGTATAGTTCCTTTGGATTAGATCTATAATTCAGTTCGACATGTTTTTCAATATGCCTTGTATCGACATGTTCTTCAATATGCATATGCCCTGTTTGCTGACATACATTTACATAGATGCTTTTCACTCGTTCACCTATAAATTTATCCATCCATCCATCCATCCATCCATCCATCCATCCATCCATCCATCCATCCATCCATCCATCCATCCATCCATCCATCCATCCATCCATTCATGTCTTCCCTCCTTCCCTCCTGCGCAGCGGTGTATCCTGATGGTACTATTCTACCTGGTGTCCTGGACGCCCTACACGGCCCTGTGTGTGTGGACCATGGTGGGCCCGCCGCCGCCGGTGGAGGTCAGCATGGCGGCCGCCTTGATCGCCAAGACCCACTGCGCCTTCAACCCCATCTTATACGCGTTCATGAGCGAGGTAGGTCTTGTAGGTACGATGGTTTTTGGATGATAGACTGTGAGAGAGTGACGTGGTGAGAGGTAGGTAGGGGGTAGATAGATGGATCGCTCTCCCACCCTCTATCTTGATAGAAACGATCAATAGAAAAATTACAATGACGTTCGTGTGGATAATTTAAGCTGGAGAATAGAAAGACAAACTAAATAATAACATTCTACTTACTAAACCAAATCCATACATGTGCTAGTGCAATCAGGTGGGGCTAGTCGTTGGTTATAGTATATTTTCTAATAACAAAGCAGTACTTTATAGAGAGATGTGGACAGATACATGTATATGTATACATACATACATACATGCATGCATGCATGCATACATACATAAATCATATATACATACACAAATAGATGTCTTAACAGGGAAAGTAGCGTCCTGTTTTCTTAACATGAGATATTTTGACACCCCAACTTTTCTGTCTTATTTCTGTGATCCCCTAATGCAGGTGTACCGGAAGCTGGTGTTTCGCACCATGTGTCCGTGTTGTTTCACCAGGATCAGCTGCACTTCGGCCGCCACGCCGCCAGGGAGCAGCAAAGTCTCCGGCCACCCCACCCCCGACATCTTCACCGTGGGCTACAGCAGCCGGGACCAGGCCGTGCAGATCAACAGGGCCGCTTCCAGGCGCTTCTGTTTCGTTACGGAGACGGCGTCAGAAGATCTGGGCATTGAGGAAACGAGTTTTACGGGCCACATTGGTCTGTGGAGATCAGGGGCCACGGTAGAGGGTTTGGGCGGCGTCCAAGTCACACAGTCGCCGACGTCAGGGTCAGGAAGTGAGTCGTCACCGTCTCTCTTGGACTTCCTACCCAAAAGGGCTTCAGGAAGGATAGCTTCTGCAAAAGTGCCTTCCCCGTCTGCTTTTACTTTTGAGCAGACGACATGCCCCGAGTTTATAGACAGACAGGCCGCTGGGCCGGAACAGTCTCAGCAGGACAAGACAACCCGATCATCTGCACTGGACGTCAGGCTGACCGAGGATGACGTCACAGATACCACACCTGCCTCGGAAACATGGCGGAGAAAGACGTCAAGAAGAACTTTTGGCAAGTCTAGGAAACATGCGTATATCGTTGATTAGACCCGATCAGTAGCATCTAAAGAAACTACAAATGAGCCTATGATTACTTTATCTGAATATTCATTTAATATGTGCGTGATTCAAAAGAGATTGAGTTGAATTGTGGAGTTTTTGTGATCTACTGAAAGATTACATCTGGAAATACTGTACGTGTACGGTAACTGCTGAAACTCAACTGGGGTTTCTACACATGGATTTGACATTATTAAGTTAGCCACATGTTATTGTAATGTTATAGTATTCAGGATTACAATTTAACAGATTGAGATGTGTGCTTTTTATATTCTTACAAAAGCTGTCATTTTCGTGTATATATACAAGTGTAATAGGTTTGTTTTGTATCACCGTTAGATGACATATTAAACTCTTCTGTGAAAACGAATTCCTCTTGTCTCATATTGCTCCTCTGCAACTGCTCTCACTTCTTGAACCTCGAAGTTGGACCTTGGTGCCATCTATGGTTGTGTTTTTATTGCACCATAGAAATCTACATATTCAACATCAGAACATCAGGGACCTCTAGCGGATGCTTGAAAATGTGCATCAGGCGTTCAGGCGTTTTCTCGGCTCAAATTTAGAACTCCAGTGTCTGCGATTTCACGCCTAACAATGCACCTGTTCTAAGGCCTACTGTAGCTGATGACTTTTCTCTATACACGATAAATTACACACATTCTATTTCTCAATGAAATGATATCTCAATGACAACCCTTTCTCATGTCTATATCAGAAAACAATCAATATTGTATATAAATACAAGCAAAGAAACATTCAAGACAACGTATTGGCACAATGACACTTGAATACTTTAATTTTAGGCTAGGCACAGAGCAACATTTACATACACTGGACAAAATATAACTATCTAAGAATCTTTCATAAGGCTAAGAAGTTTTTAAACGCTTTCAATACAGATGGACATCCACCCAGAAACAGATTACGATATGTATTAATTTAGTCAGAACTGCTAAAATGTTGCTCGTGAGGCCCGGGTGTCTCTCGTCCCAGTAAGTGCTTTATCTTGTATGGTCCGTAAGCGGGGTATATCTTTTTGTTTAAACATTCTGGTCCCGTCGCCATCTTTTCAGATATTCCATTCTTTTCAGATATTTAAAACGATGAAACTAAACAGTTTTCTGTGTTCTATACATTAGAATATTAACACACCAACAATTGATAACAAACAACATAAGCGAGTTTTTTTTACAACAAAATTAAGTCATGGCAAAGGCAGCAAGATAGTTCCTGTGTTTAACACGTTTGGCTCTAATTCAAAGTACCTACACTGAATTCACAATCGGAACACAATACTTCACGAATTGACTGACCACAAGTCCTTTTTTGACTGGATAGCAAACTATATAATATAGGACTCATCATACGAAACGGACTAACGTGAAATTTGGATAGAAATTCGTCCCACTACAAACAGGCGTTCTGTCGGCTCTTACGAAAGGATGCCCTGCACTAGTTCCACATATTTGTCGTCTGCAGGCGGCTTGCGGTGACTGGAGTTCAGATATTTGGCCAGGTTGGGAACTTCCCGCATGTAGCTTAGAAAGTCCTGAAAGGTAAAAACGCAGCAACGTGATGGTATTAGTTAGTGCCTTAGTATAGCAGTTAAGGGCCTATGTTAAACTGCAAAATCGTTACAGCGTAGCACACAGCTTCATTCGGTAAATTGTAAAAAAAAAATAGCCCTGGAGTTCCTAAACATCTTTTGTTTTGATCTATTCAATAGAAGACAAACAGGTCGGTTTGCAAAAATGTTTCGTTCACAAAGAAAAAACGTGCCAGTAATCGCTGATTTAACTAGATGTATCACATTGTTATCTGCGTACGTATGTGTAAGGGATTACAGTGTACTCCTAATGTACCAAAATTCCCGGCCACTGGAACCACTTTAACAAATCATTCGAAAGTAACATCTGAAAAAGTAATCTCCTGACAAAGTGCCTCTGATTTTTACCACTTAGCACCGCCGCGCGCTAAGCTCCAAATGGACCATTCCTGTCATAATGGCAGCAACTTCCAGCCACCTTTTACGTGTGAGACCGATGACGCTCCTAACACAATTGAACTGCTTGGGCGATTGTTCAGGCCAGCTCTCACGCGTAAAAGGCGGATCAGTGAAAGGCTGTTACCGCCTCGATAGGCCTTTTTGCTGGACGTTCCATTTGAATGGAGGACTGTATACGACCACTTCTGGCCAGTAAAAAGCAGGGGCAACCATTAGCTTGGGAGCCGTTCCAAGTCGTTGAGCACTGCATTCACCTCTCCTGCACATGTCACAGTGAAATACTAGCACTAGAGAAGCGGCTTAACCTCAACGGTCACCGAGGAGAAATTCTAGCGAGATGGATCCCATGAAAAATTCTCGATATGATGTGGTAGAAGGAACAATATTCACCAATCTTGATCGTATTCTTAGATTTATTGAAGAATTGTTGTCAAACAACAAAGTTTTCTATATCGATTGAGTCCAACTAGCGATATAACAATCTAATATACCATAGACATTTTGATTGACAAATATCTCCAACGTTTGTGATGAAAGTAAATACCTACTGCACAAAAAAATTGAGAAAATCAGAAATTAATAGATTGAAAGCACACCACAGAGTATTAGTCAAGACACGTTATCATTTCATGTCATTAACCAAAATTCAAGTTAAAAGAGCTTTACGAACTTGCATGCAACAAAGAAATCACAAATAGAAACAAAAGTGTTTGGGCCCCACCTCCAACTTGGAATAGTCCTCCAGCGCGTAGGGATACAACTCCGAGATGGTGAGAAGCGGTTCCAACAAGGCTACATCAGCAAACGTCATGCCCGTGCCGACCAGGAAACCCGTTCCGTTGTCTTCTAGTGCCTGGAAGAGTTACGGCAAACACTGTATAACATTCAACATGCCCTGACGTGCGCTTCGTTGCTTAGTCTCATGCTAAAAACCCACACGTGTAAAGTCCCATGCCGACGCATGGAAGCTTACGGCACTTCCCTTTGGGACAGAAGTACACAATATGACATGTTGCATGCTGCTCCTATAAAGCTACTTTAGTAATGGTAGCCTCCAGGTACCAGTGACGCCATAGCTACCCTGCCTGCTGGCCTGCTGTTGTCAAATGCGTTGGGTTTGGCTTAAAATCGGCCCAATCTGTGGTGTGATTGGTGAAAAGCAACGAATACCCTACAGTTAACATGGTGCTGGATTGAAAGGTCCAAAAACTCACAAGAAATAGGTCTTAGGCTTCCGGAAAGTCTTCAAAATTCGACTTCCTGAATTCTCCTATGTCGTCCTGGAATACTGGTTCCCGTCCAGATTCTGAGACTTTTGACCTCCTCTCATTCTGCCTGTCAATCTGCCGCTACCCAAAGACTGTCAACCTCACCTTTCCGGACAAACAGTTGAACAAACCAACAGCTCAGCTACCCAAAACAACGCTTCTGTGCCCGGAATTAAGAAAAGACCTAGATTGACCTGCTCGAATATAGGCAGCCATCTGGGCAGCACGTTGTCCTGGATCTCATCCTCGGCTGCCGAGCGGTCTGGTGCGAAGGGCAGGGCGTTAAAGATCTCGTTAAAGTCTCGCGCGCCCTCGGCCAACATGTCACACCTAGGAAACAAAGGAACGCAGTCCTGTCAACGAAATCATGTACTAAATACGGTAAATGCTACACTTCGGGAATGAAACAAGGCATATATATAAAACTTCACATCCGGATAAAGTAAACTTATAGTTTGTCCAGCTGTAGAGTTTTATCTTACTGTAAATACAATTTACCTGGATGTCTAAACTTTACCAACGTAACGGAAAACACCATATTACAATAACATATTCAGCACCAAGGAAAGCACCCGTCCCAAGTTCTTATCCTACAGATTCACTTACTTGGCGGACTCCACGTTGTTCTTGCCATAAAGAGCAGCGCGTCTGGCAACATGGCGGACGATGGCCCCCACCTGGACCAACTTCACCCCGTTAATCTCCAGCAGAGGCAGTTGAAGAAACAACAGGTCTCCACCTGCAATCATGGTAAAATGTTACCAAAGTCAAAAACCTTTTTTTTAGAAAATAAAAATTTCTTCCAATACAAAGAAAAACAGAGACTTACTTCAGAGTATTGACTCTCAGCACAGGCTTCGTCAAGGGAAGAATGACTCCTTGCTTACGGCACGTGACCAAACACGTGACAAACACATGGTATAACACGTGATCGGCACGTGGCATAACATGTGACAGGCACGTGACATAAAACGTAACACCAGTAATAAGTCAAAGGAAGTCTGTATCACCCAACGTCTCTGATTTTAGAGACGGTTGATGGAACACCAGCACGATACACGTACAATACATGATACACAGAACCGTACTTACTTTCTCGCAGCTTTTCTAGCTCTTCTTTTGTTTCAACGTATATCTCGTCGAACTGAAATAGAAAAGGAAGACACTCTAAATTGTAACAAACGTGTGGTTTTGGATGATATAATAACTATTCGATCCTGTATCTTGAATCAGTTATGGTTGATTCTACCTCTACAATGAGAAACTTGACGTTTTTGTCGCTATCTCTGCAAATTCCCCTACTAGACGGATTCTGGTCACATATCTCAGTTAATTACTAAAGGATTTGTGTTTTGGCACTTGAGTACCGTGACCTACATACGGCAAATAACACTCATTTACTCCGTGGGTATTCCATCGCCGGTTTCTTAGTAATTGAAGCATTGCCACTCAAGACATTTAGAGGTCGTGAGCGATTACAATCTACATATCCATACACCATCAACTCGCAACCATTTGTCATTTCGAGACAGTAAACGTTTTTTAATCTATAGCTCTTCTTTATTTCTTGGCTCTAGACCAAACTTCAAGCAACTGACACAGAATTTAAGTGTAACACAAAAATATCGTTATATGTGAGAAATCCGTCAGAACGGAACTGAAAGCATCTTAAAACATTTTTGAAGCTTGTCTTCGACAAAACAAAGGCCCTGAATATCGTATAAAGCTTGTTGCTCTAGGTAATTGATAAGAATAATTTGTGAAAATATGAAGAAATGGTTCTGAAAATGGCTTCAAGGAAAACAAGCAAAATGATGAAAGCACTGTTTTTGTGTCACGATTGGAAAACGCTCTATTTGAATGGTTTGATCTTTAGGAGAACGGTTGTCACCATGTCGTATTTGCGGTGAACCTTACTACTTCCAGTGAACCCACCTCTATCCCGGCCGCCGCCAGCATCAGCCGGACGCTCTCGGCCTGGCCGCGGCCGTTGAAGTACGTCAGCTTCGGTTTGCCTGGCTCGGACATACTGGTCGTTCCTGTCAGCCCTTTGGTCAAACTATTGACATAAAACATACAATAATAAGACTGTAGTAGCGGTAAGGCCATGTTGATTTGATTATATAGATGACATCCTCTGGGAGCCCCAAAACTGATGCGATCGTGCGAATAAAAGAAGTTTGGCAAAACAAAGTTGCCTTCATTATGAAAATTAATCCAAGTGGTCATGAAGGTTGAACAAATATACATGGTATGGTATGGTGAATAATGAATGGACTCTTCGTTTTCATTTCTTCGCATTTTCGTCTTTTCCTTTGGAATCGTTGTTGTAATTCTACCACATTAGTATTGATTTTCAATATTTTTTTTTGCAATTTACGGCATATATTTGCTCATTTTGCAGGCGCCTTGTGTGATTTACAGTAATAGTATGGTTGAAAACTTTTTTTTTAGAAACGGACGAAAATTCATGCGTCATCCATATAATCAAATCAACATGGCCCAAGCGTCTGCATGGATTCTCTTGAAGCGAATGTACATGTCTGATGAATGACGTTCGTGTAAAAGTCAGGAGGAGCACGGTCAGATAGAGAGTAAGTTTTCCCAAGCGACCGTTCTTTCATACCGAATGACGTTAACGTTAGACAGAGCGACCACTCGTGTATCAAAATGTCACCGAATCGCACAGGCTTTCCCTGTCCCTGGTGCTGAAGTCGCTGGAGTCGTGTTGTGTTACAGATTGAATCGATAATTCAATTTCTCCTTAAAGGCATCCAATGTGATTTCAGGGCAGCAAAACTGGAAATATTCTGAATAAGGACATCTTTGTTATATTGACACATACTGCTTCAAATTAGCACTTTTGAGTCAATATTTCTTACTTTGGGCTTTTACAACTGTAGAAAAAAGCCCAAAAGATGAGTCCTTTATTTTCTGGGTGGTACACTTAAAATCAGCCAACAGCCCTTCCAGTGACCGTTTACAGTCAGAATTTTGGGAAATTTTGCTCCAAGATGGTCAATATACATTGGGATAGTGTGGTTTCAACTTAGTATGTAGATAAATGACTAGAATATTGGCTTTATGGGAGTGGAATACTTGATATTGTATTCCTCAGCACGGACATAACGTCAGAATGCACGCAAAGAGCTCTGGCAAGCAATGCTGACTACTAATAGTAGGTTAAATCCCCCTATTCATTCCTCCATATTGTTGGATCCTGTATTCTGAAAGGCTTGTATCTTTTGACCGACAGACGTCTGTGACTTAAATGAACGACGCGCATGAATGCCAGAATGGACACAAGTGTCAGCAAGCGTCAACTTTGACAGATCCACTACCCGCTAGCTGAATTGTTCAACGTTAACCTTTATGTTTTAGTTTGTGTCGAATGGTTTGTATAAGAAAACACGGGGCTGTGACATCTCTACATGGCCATATTCATGATCCAAGTCACGAAGACTGTCGAAATGTCTCCCTTTAATGCGTCCCACGCCTGACACGACAAAATGCATGTCAATGTGAAGGGTAACCTATCATGTTACCTTTGGGTCATCTCTGTATCGTGTAGACGCCCCAACAGTAAAAGGCTGATTCAGAAAAAAAGGACTAAAGCTTAAAGCGAGACATTTAGAGCCGTGGGAGCTATAAATAATTTGTGTGTTATACAGGCTATACAGTTACAGAAATACGCACTCAGAATTCAGAATGCTACAATGTGCTTCTTCGTGTTGATGATTTCATTTGTATTCAACAACGGAACTGCTGACGATCATTAATAATCATTCATCCAAGGAATACACGTTTTCTTAATGCATCCACTATTAGGTTTAATGGAATACTAAACGATGATGAGTGTTGATGCTATTAACAGATATTTTATTGTTCAATTTAGACAAGCCTTCGTTTATTTGCGAGCTCCATACTAGTTTATGTGCTATCAATGTGCCACCCCTTTTTACCGACATTTTAGCATCGGCCCCAGGTACATCTGCGCATTACTCACGCGTCTCCGCATCGGGACCTGTAGTCTTAACCACAGCTTATTCTTAAGAAATTTAGCCCCTAGTGCTGCTTGTATCTGCGGGTCTCGTTGTGAGAGTGTCATACATTTTCTTTTACACTGCCCTTTATATAATCAACAAAGAGTCACCCTACTCAGCAATCTCCAGAATGTGGTAGGCTTTGATTTTGATGTTTTCAATATGTCTGAACAATTGTTATGTGATATTTTACTTAGAGGATTACCTGATTTATACTATGATACAAACTGTAATATCTTGCTAACCACTCAAACTTATATTGTTGACACCAAACGGTTTGTACTCGACTGATTTATTATATAGCCTACTAAACATTTCTTTGTACTATTTAACGACCCATCCCACCCACTTGCTGTTCTCTGTTTTTTGTTATGTATTGTAATTGTATTCTATGTTTGGTGGTGAGGCTAAAATTAGCTATAGCTAGAGTACCTCACCACCTTGTCTTGTATTGTCCTTGTTGAATTTGCAAATAAAAAAATAAATAAAAAAATGTGCCACCCTGCACGTACCCTGGCCTGTTGCGATAAAAACGTGAGTTTAAATTGATATATTGCAAATATATAATCTACAATATGTAGTGAGGAAATGTAGGGACTACTGGTTAGATTTCATCTCTACACTGATAAAGTGAAAATCTTCACATGATCATCTTTTATTCACAGCAGAATCGATAATCATTCTCATGAAATCACCCTGGAACGAATAGCAGGCATTTAATAGAGTAATTTAATAGAACGCCATGAGGGTAATCGAAGAACTTGAAGCAAGACACATGTACAGCCTGTGGAGGCGTGTAACAGTGTCTTCGATATAAATTGACCCTCGATGAAAGGGCATAATGGTTACCTTCACATGGTCTGCTATGTTATTTATACTTACTCAAACCTACTCATATATATGGTAACATGAGTCCAAATCCCTCCTGCTATAAAATTGCAACATGATGTAACCCAACACAAATTACCATGGTGACAGACGGCTGGTTCAGGTTATTGACCCTATTTGTTTGAAGAAGAAGAAGAAGAGGAAGAAAAACAGGGCAAAAACAGTGTTTTCCTTTTGCGAAGGTAAACATAAATACAACCTATGCTAGCCTGACCAAACCGCGAGCTTGTGTAACACAGGCTACAGCCGCTACGTGTGTGGATGCTGTACATAAAATGTCCTTAGGCCACACCAATTTAATTTGTTGGTTCTCGGATTCGCCTCTTCGTTTTTTTCTGATTTGCAAAAAAAAAAATTGATTCTGGTCCTGAATCAACTGAAAAATGCTCATGTTTTGCCCCCCAACAGTTGAGGAAAGTCCTTTTTCTTCCTAGTTGTTACAGTTTTCCCATCTATCATTGCAGTGGTTTGATTAAAAGTTCAAAATTCAATGTTTAAATTTTAACCCAGCCTTTTGTGTTGACTTCATGGCTCATTTTGTAGCATTTAAGCCTATAATAGGATGCCTAGACCTGTTTTTTTTTTCGCCCTGTCGCTTCATATTTTTTCTGAAAAAATCCGAGAACCAACAAATTAAATTGGTGTGGCCTTAGGGTGGCCTGACGCCGCACGGCACGTGGACCTGTCACCGCGCATTAGCGTCAGCTCGGCGCTTTAATTCAACCCACGCCGTCTGATAACCTCTACAGCCTGATTGGCCTTTCAATGCGCCAATTTGTCCCCTTTCACCCACATAGAACGGCGCTTTTATCCCGTGAATTAGGATCGTGGTTACCGCAGCTTCAGCGTCAGATGCTTTGTGTTGTACCTTTCCATTAATATATAAATCTGATTGATATTTTTGTTGTTGATAATAATAAGCAAATTATGCATATGCATTTACGGAAAGGTAATGACAGATGTATCTTTCAGCCGCCTTCACGGAATATTACAAGCATTTCTTTGCGTTTGATAACAATTTACGCATTTCGGGAAATTTCTCATATATATCTGCTAATGTTCATGCTGTGAATATGCCATACATGCTCGGTAAGAAGTGATTTGTTCCCTAAGGACTAATTTAAAGATAACTCTAAGCGAACTAGCAGACCCGCGAGGACGTACGGCGATGTTTATTCCCGAGGTGTAGCTCGTTATGGTTGTTTCTTAAGAAGCACCTGCGTCTCTCCTTCTGTACGTTTTAACAACAGTCTATTCAAACGTTGTACGTACTTTGAATCTTTAAGTACTTTAGTATTCCCTTAATCATTGCGAAAGAAGCGGGTTAGTTAAAGAAGTCTCCACTTTTACCGATGAAAACTACACCGCTATACAATAAACCCACAGAACCCAAACACTTTAGAGAAAAAAGTTGGATTTTTGGTATTTTTCCAACGCAACTAGTTTAGATTTATCATGAAAGTTCATCTATATTGGTTATAATCATAGTAAAACGTTGAACTTTATTCCAACACACACAATTTACAGACATATCAAATTTTCAGTGATTGGTCATTAATCATTCCGATGAAAGCGACAGTGGTCGCTGAAAATTTGATCTCTCTGTAAATTGTGTGTTGGAATAAAGTTAAACGTTTTACTAATAAGTTTAGATTTAGAACGTTAGCCATCGGAATTAGGGTAACAGGCATAACAGTGGCACATCATTTATTTTCTGTTTGCAATTATTTTTCTGACAAAACGTTTACCGCATTGTATCTGTAGTTCATAAAATATTGCGGGAGTTATTTGAACCAGTTTCCTGACACAAAAATGGAGAATATATCATTGGCATTGAGAGGGCTTTTTACCATGTGTAATGCTGTAAAAAACGTTCACACAAATACTCAATTCCACATCATTCATGATCAAACGAACAGTGATTGAAACTGACAGGCAACCCCTTTGTAGACCGAGCCTTTAGAACTCTATCTGAGTTATTGCCTGCTCCTCTGATGAAACCGTTATAACATTTCCGTCTGCGCGTTTTATGTTTGCAGCTGCGGGCTTGCCATAATTACCCTTTTGTACTATAGCTGTATAGGCAGGCTCAGTCAATCGTACCTTCCATGAAAAACAAGTTTTAGATGCAGACGGCTGCAGCGCATCGGGCGGTATTGTATCTAGAACTGTGCCTATCTAGTTCCATGGGTGAGGGTTTTGGATCAGGCACTGTTCTGGATAGTCTCCGCGTATCCAAGAACGTAGATTTGACCCAGGCACGGTTCTGGATACACGTAACGTAAACTATTTAGAACAATGCCTGAGTACGGTTCTGGATAAAAGACGGTACTGGATAAAACAGGCGATAAAGCAGGTCTGTTCCGTTTTGTCACGTTCACCGCTGCCAAAAGACCGCCCCGAAATACAAAACAGCAAACGTTTCCAGTCAGCCTTCTGGGCGACTGAGAGTGTTTTTCACTGATAAGATCCCTGAAGAATATCAGGCGATTCGTGGGCGGGATGAAGTGAAGTTCTGTGGGGTCATGTCTTTCATGCTGATAAAAGATGGAGCCGTTGAAGGGTTTTGCTGTGATAGGCCGCACTCGTGTCATTATATCTACGTAAATGGTACAATGTAGCCCACTCTAGATGGGTAGATAAGATAGGATGTCGATTCAAAAGTACCATCAGAAAGACTTCTTCATATTTGATTTGTGAAATAATCTAACATATATTTCACCTTACGATTAAAATCTATCTGGGAGTCTGAAATGTTAATGTTTCATTTTCAGCGTCATTGACTCGAAATTCTGCCAAATCTGACAATCAAACAACTCTGTAGAGACGCCGTTGGTGAGATATAATCTTTGAAATCGCGTCGTTCGGGCGGAACATGCATGGCGTCTCTTAGATGTTTGTAACGTTTGGCTGATTTCATCTTGATCGCCACGAAAACACGTCTCATGACACTATCTCAGACCTCGTTCCCTGAAGCAGCGAGTTTCACGAAGATACAGATCAAAGATACGCAAGCTTACGTCGAACAAGTTTAACATACCGTACGCGCGAGATTTTGAGAACATAGAATTGTTTTTGGGAAGGTTGTGACAGAACCAACGGGTTTACCGTTGACAAGGATCTTGTTACAAACTTGTTAAGACAACTGCACGACTGTATGTCCCAAGGATGTCCCCAGTTTGCAATCGTACGGCAATCGTACAACGTCTGTAACCGGACGGACTCGACAAAAAGCGATGAGGTAAGAGTCAAGTTTACCTACTAAGGAAACATTTTAAAAATGTTTGAGCTATTCTCTTCACAGAGATAAACCATCATCAGCACCATCATTCCAGAGTGCTATTACTCCTACGGAGAAAACCCTCCCTTGGCTCCAGTCTTTTTGTAGACTCGCAGCTCTTGGTAATGTATGGCCCAGGTACCATAATGGTAACTGAAATACATGTATGTAGACGTTCAGTTCACGTTATCACAATACACCACCCACTCCTTCTACACTAGAAGATGTAGATCAACAGTTCCCCGCTGAGAGCTGTCTGTCTCCCTCTGCCAGCCACGCGGTTAACCTCCCAATTAAAGCTGTCCTTTTCAGTTCCATTAGCAAATTTGACAGGATTGGCGCCACGGGGAACATCGTGGTTCCAGGAGGAGAAACAGGCCGCACAAAGTTCGTGCGATGTTTGACGGCAAGAGCTTGGTCACATACAAGCGCACAATACGTTGTACGATTGTCGTAGAAACGCTAACTGAGCGCATTCACTGTCTGAGTGTATACGTGCGTGCGTCGTACAAAACTCACGATTTTTGTCGGCGGTTGGTTCTGTCACTACCTGCTTGAAAATTCAACATCAAAATTTACCTGTGATTACATCGAAAAACAAAGTGTTGAAATAAGATTTCCAAGCATACTAGTATGTAGGGTTCGACCCAGTGAATATCAGCTACAGCTACAGTGCTGCCAATCTTTCAGGATACCTGCTACATGTCTAGCCCTGGAGGATCTATATTCTCATAGGCCCTTTTGTATCGCACAGCTGTCAAAATTCCCAGGCTTGCTTATCATATTTTCAGATTCCCCAAGGAACGGGGCAGCTACCTATGTTAGAACATGTAGATGTCTAGATGTTAGACTATGTAGATGCCTAAATGTTAGACGATGTATAGATCTATATAGACGTTAGACTATGTAATTATGTAAATGTTAGACTATTACACTTTATAGATGTATAGATGTTAAATTATGTAGATATATCGATGTTAGACTTTGTAGATATATAATACTATGTGGATATACAGATGTTACACTATGTAGACGTAACGTTTTTGATGTTAGACCATCTGTCCAACAAGTGTTTGAGTTCACTCGGCCCAAAACCAAAAGGATCTCGTTCTTCAGAAAAGCCGTGTAATGCGCTGTTCCCTTATTGTACACTAAATGTCGGCCCGCCGCTGAAATGCGCTAGTCGCTATCACAGGTAGATTACTGAGCCCATTCACGCCCGGCCGTTCTAGGGCCATTTTAAAATCAGCAAATGCATATGTACACCAAAGGTATAATGATTTTGTTAAGCGTGGCCTTGGTGTAAATGCTTCGGATTGAACGGAAATTCATAAATCATTAGTTTACAGCTATGACTGTTTAAAACTCAGTTTTACTGATGACAAACCTTATATTTTTGTCAGTATCTATACAAATAAAGAAATAAAATGAAAGGTTTTTGTAAGAATTTATTTTTCTTCCACCTGTCTAGTTTCGAAAAAATAAAGTTGGCTGTATTTACATTTTTTTGTATGAATGCTGTTGATTATTGTGCAATTTTACCATGACCTCAAATATGAGGTCCCCAACCGTCAAAATGGTCCCGTAACTGCCACACACAGATGGACCAATCAGAAGCATTTCTGTCGTACTTGTCAAAACCAGACGGCCAAAACACTTGACGACAAAATACACTTGCTTTTCATAATTTAATCGTATTGTGTGACACGCAGCACGACAAGCCGTTTACTTTTTTTGTAATTTGTCCTTATCTATAGCCAAAACTCCATTTAGTATTATCCCAGGGTAAATACGACTTTTTATATATCATAGAGCAAAGTAAGGTATCACGCATTATGAGCATTTTATTTTGCCCAAATCTGTAAAAATGTGTTCCAATGGTTACTTTGTCCTGCCTTGAAGATTGGCACGCAGAAATTCAATGTGGCTTTTCTTTTTCGTTTCATCGATTTTTGAAGGTTTGAGCGCTTGTTATATTCAAACCCCACTAGTTCTTGTTTAAACACCAGTAAATCTTTATTTTGTCATAGTCATTCCCTAACCATTTCGTCTGGAGTATTCAGATGCCAGTTACATTAGATGCTTTAGATGCTTTGAAGATCCTTGTCATTCATGTGTCTTTCATGTACAGTACTGACATGACAATAAATCATTGCACGTCAGATTCCAAACATCTACTACGGTAAAACACGTCACATTCTTGGTGTTATCTTATTCTCACCATAGCATGTATTATCTGAATTCTATACATACACCCGGCCAAATAATACGTATTGCGCCACAGACTAATTCTATCAAAATCTAAGGAAAGATTGATGAGCTCATTTTTACGAGGAGCTAAGCCTTGTTGCTTTTTTTCTGTCCGCATTCCCCGCAGTTAGCAATTCCCTGGGACGAGCAGATCGTTGCTTAGCAACCGAAGTGCGTATTCGTCCTTCAAGGGGTAGATCGTCTGATTAATCGGCTGAGGGAAAGGCATTATGGCGGAAACAGCGGTTTGATGCTGCGCTGTGTGTTAGACACGCTTCTTTTTCAAACAGTCGCGTTTAAATGGCAAGGATGCTTACGTTAATTTGTATCTATCTTCTTTACATCTTTGCTATTTGCTCCCTATTCTTTCATACTCGCCCCGAAAAAAATTATGAAATGACTACAATGACATCAAGAGATTTTAAAATGATGGCAGTCGTGTGAGTGAGGAAAGATTTATGTACGCCGCAACATGTCGTTTGGTGTTTCAGATGCTTTTTGTATTAGAATATGCTCCAGTTTTCCTTGCTGAGACTACCTGTACATGACTGTATTTACGGTAAACGCGCAGTGGGAGGGGATCTCTCTCCGTTTCCACGCTCACAGCTCACCTCTCCGCGGTCTCTTCAAAGATGCGGAGATGTGTGCTCTTAATAGGCCGTCATCTGACACAAACGAA